AAGGTGATTTCTGTTGCGTTGTGGCGATGTCTTTTTAATCCTTGTAAGAAATCTCATCAAAATCAACATTTTCAGGTGAAGTCGATTTTTTGTTCGTGCAATTGTGTCAACACTTTTGTTACATATTTTTACGCCTATGCGTTTCTGTTTTTTGGATAGTATATGTGAGGAATCGAACCTGGAGATACCCAATTGAATATTGATTGAATATTTCTAAAGCGGCGTAAAACCATACTCATTCCCTCACTCACTCACTACAATGAATGGAGCCAATTTTTGCTGTTTCCTTCCTCGTTATCTCTTAAAGCGGCAAAAACCATACTCACTCTCTCATCTGTCTCAACTAGCTGATAAACTTCCCAAACACTGATGATCTAATTACGATCGTACAATGGACTCTCTTTTACGGTATCGTAATGGTGTAGAATTAAGGGTTCATTTGTGTACCGTTTTTGGGTTAGTTCGGCATTTGCATACAGAAATCGAAGATGTAAATCAATATTGCTAAATCGGCTTTGAAAGCTAACATCTGATTGGCTGAAAAACCTACCATACGTAGAGTATTATCACTTCCTCTTTCATTTCTTCACAATGACTACTTCTCCTCCACACTGAGGGATGAAAATAGTCCCACCTACACATGAAACCCGACTTGCCAACTAAGCTTTATGTGAAACGAATACTGCCGCAACTGCTTTGTGGGACTCATCATGGATTACATCGCGTATTGATTGAAAGAAAAGTAGTGCAAGGTCAAAGTTGGTGAGCCAGGGTTCAAAGGATCAATACTAATAGACAGTAATGAATCGTTGGACGGCGGTACTTGGCACGAGATCGGCACGTGCTATAGATGCACGCACAGTCTGCAGACATTTAAATAGATACGAGATTTTGTTCAGATTTCGAACTACTGAAGCAAGACATTGTATCCCTGATATGCAGAATACTAGCGTTAGGCATCCATTGCCATAAGTAGAACAAAACAGCGGCCTTCCTCATCTGGATGCTGCAGCGATGCGGTCGAACGAGTCCGATTTGAGTGAGTGAGTTTAGTTTTACGCCGCTTTTAGCAGTATTCCAGCAATATTACGGCAGGGGACACCAGAAATGGGCTTCACTCGTCAAACAATCGCCAAAATAGGGAATCGAACCAGGATCTTAGGCGTGATGAGCGAACGCTTTAACCACTAGGCTACCCCACCGCCCTGAGTCCGATTTAAAGGAAGTCGAGCGATACCCAAAGGCTGGATGTTACCCGTGACGTAACTATGCTGGACAAAATAAGTTAGGGATATTGGTATTTTTATGATTGATATGTTATCAGTGTGTTAATGAATAAATAGATCATTATTCATTATTTCAAAATTTACATATATCCCTAATTATTTTGGTCCAGTATATATCATATTCCCTGTTGCTTCCTGTTAGAACTTATATATGGAGTGAGTGATGTTTTACGCCGCTTGAAGCAATATTTCAACAATATCACGGCGGGGGACACCAGAAATAGGCTTCATACATTGTACTCATGCACGGAATGGAACCCGGGTCTTCGGCGTGATGAGCGAGCGCTTTAACACTATATACTAGGCTACTCCACCGCCCCAAAACCTACATGTTGGTCGTGAGAGGCGACGTAATGGAAAGGGTGTGTAACATCATGTTCTGTAATGACACCACTGTATGAGACCGGACCAAGAAACGCAATCAGAAGCTGACATACCTAAAATAGTTGGCATGCAGTATACAGTTAATGTTACATACATAATTAACACTATTCACTTTTGCATGATTTGACTTTCAGAGGTACATTGATAATATGTGTCCGTAGCACAACGTAAACACCACAAGGTTGATAGTTTTGCGGAAATGAGCTTTTTATTTTTCTATCTAACATGTTGTCCCTTCTTTTGATCATCTCATGTGGAACTTTAGTCAGGATAATGCACATACTGTAGTCGGTACGTCAATATTTAGACTATTATGTATACGTAGCAGTGTTGTTGTCAAATTGCAGGTCCTACCTATATATTTTAGTGGATGGTGTTGCATCATGTCTGATGACAGGTGCACCTAGGAGATATGAGTATCGAGTTTTCGTCACAGCCAGTTATCTCGCTTAAGCAAACAATGTTTGCAAGTCAATACTCCGGACATGACAAGCGCCTTGTCTCCTGACTGCACAACTCAACGCACTTCCTGGTAGCCTACACAGGCATACATGCAAAGATAGTGTGCTGAACACATTTACGAGGGTGAGTACTGACGAAACTCTGTTCACTGTTATTCATTGTGTGTTTATAGGAGCGACATCTAATGCAATTGCTGATGCATATGGGTTTCAACTGCGGATTTCGTGTGCGATATCAATATCTATTGTCTTCTTTTGTACTGCTCGTCGCCATTGGACATCTGCACGGTGTTCAGGATAAGATTGTGTTTAGTTTCGGAAGACCAGTCTGTGGAAATAACTGGATGGATGTTGGTGTAATTAGACAGTAAATAAAAGACTAGATGAAAGTGTAATTTGACAGTGACTAAAAGATGAGATGGATGTTGGAAGGTGGTGTAATTAGACAGTAAATAAAAGATTAGATGAATGTGTAATTAGACAGTGAAAAAAAGACTAGATGGATGGTGGTGTAATTAGACAGTAAATAAAAGATAGGAGATGGATGGTGAATTGTAATTAAACGGTATATCAAAGACTAGAATGTATGTGTAATTTGAGATTGAATAAAAAGATTAGTTGGATGTTGGAAGGTGGTGTAATTAGGACAGTAAATAAAAGATTAGATGGATGTTGGTGTAATTAGACAGTAAATAATAGACTAGATGAATGTGTAATTAGACAGTAAAATAAAAGACTAGACGGATGGTGGTGTAATTAGACAATAAATAAAAGACTAGATTAGAATGTGTAATTTGAGAGTGAATAAAAAATGAGATGGATGTTTGAAGGTGGTGAAATTAGACAGTAAATTAGGAACTAGATGGATGTTGGTAATTAGAAGTGGATAAAACACTAGATGGGTGTTGAGATTGTAATTAGACAGTAAATAAAAGACTAGATGGATGTTGATGTAATTAGAGAGTGGATAAAAGACTAGATGGATGTTGGTGTAATTAGAGAGTGAATAAAGGACTAGATGGATATTGGTGTAATTAGACAGTAAATAAAATACTACGGTGAATGTGTTGATAGACAGTAAATAAAAGACTAGATGGATGGTGTTGTAAATAGAGAGTGGATAAAACACCAGATGGATGGTGGTGTAATTAGAGAGTGAATAAAAGGACTAGATGGATAGTGGTGTAATTAGACAGTAAATAAAAAAAAGACTAGATGGATGTTGGTGTAATTAGACAGTAAATAAAATGCTAGATGAATGTTGGTGAAATTAGACAGTAAATATAAGGCAAGATGAATGTTGGTGTCATTAGACAGTAAATAAAAGGCTAGATGAATGTTGGTGTAATTAGACAGTAAATAAAAGACTAGATGGATGTTGGTGTAATTAGACAGTAAATAAAAGGCTAGATGAATGTTGGTGTAATTAGACAGAAAATAAAAGATTAGATGGATGTTGGTGTAATTAGACAACCAGTCAATATCTCAGAGTCAGTTCTCCATATACACGGAGACCTCTGAAACCAGATTACCTCAAATATTAATACTGCAGGCCATATATATGAAGCTTATGTGGTGAGGGATTTGTGAAGCTTGACTGCCCAGAGCAGGTTGGGGTCGTATATACGATATCTGGAGAAAAATGTTGTGACGATATTCAGAACTGCCTTGAATATATATTGACATTTAGCAGGATGAGGCCATTACTTCAAAAAAGTCTACTGTACACTTCATTTTCCCGTGATAGAATTGCTTGAAACACAAGCTGACACACGCGGGTAGCTGGGTAGCGAAAGGGTTCGCGTTCTCTTTTCCGCCGGAAATTCGAATCCAGAATTCAATTCCCAACATGGGCTACCATGAAGCCACCTTGGTATTTGCTGAATTATTTCTTGTCGGCGTACAACCACACCTACTCACGCATGCAGTGAGGCACAATTTGGCAAACTCCTCGAATGCGTAAAAGTAGACGTAAACGTTGATCTTTGTAGATTGAGCGAAGCATGGTCTTAGAGGCCACTTTGGCAGCAGTATACAGAAGAATACTACGTCCTCATGAGCCTCCAAAATAGTGCATTCATCATTTGCACCACCGTTGGGAATCGAACCAAGGGAAACAACTTTAACCACTCGAAATGACGCCAAATGCAACCACACTGGCAAAGTTAATGTGTATGTAGATTGTGCCATCCCACCGATTCAATTGCTGTGGACGGTTTCGAACCAATTTAATAATGATCTGAGTTTATGAATTGTTATCTTGTGAACAGTTTCTGCGCTGTGGATGACACCACTGTATGTGACAAAGGCTTAAAACGCAATGAATTATGTTTCTTATGCGTAAGAACCAAGGCTGACATATCTAAAATAGTTACCATGCAATGTAAATGCATACACATCTGTCTGTATACATCAATAACGACTTTACTGTTTCGTGATTAGTTTTGTCAGAAACACATTGGCCAAAATAAGTTTCAGTAACACAAGCCAACACCCATAAAGTGCATAGTTTTCAAAATGAACTATATAATCTTATATTATTTTTTAAAATAGACTCTTGATAGTGTATCCTCAACAACTGTTATGAACTTTTATTAGAGGCATTCCATATTACAATGGAAATATTGCAAAGTCGACAAGTCAGTATGATGTTTAAGTAGCAAGAAGTTATTTGAAAAATGTAAGCTCCTACGTATACATTTTAGTGGAGGGGGTTGCATCACATCCTGATAACATGTGTACTGGAGATCTGGGTCACGAGTTTTGCGACAGTAATCCCCAAACCAAACAATGTTCACCCAGTTCATACCAGGTTACAAACACCGTTTCTCCACCATGAAACGCTCACCTACTTAACACAATTCACTTCCTGGTTGCCTACACATGCACACGTCAGTGCATCGTATTGAACATATTTGAGGTGTTCACTGGTGCGACAGGTGAGTACTGACATAGTTTTGTTTCATATGTTTGCTGTAATCCGGTCTGTGTTTGAATCACCAAATCCAGATCTAGTGTACGGCATTATTTTTATGTTGTAGTTCTCTCTTGCTTTATACTGCTCGTCGGAATTGAGTGATGATATAAGTGCACGCTGCTCATGGGAAATCCTTGTTTCGTTTTTCATCCTGCTGTGGAAAGGACATACAAGACGGATATGGTGTAATCAAACGGTGAATGTAAAGACTAGATACAGATGTGATGCCATTAGACAGTGAATATAAGACTAGATGCACGTTGAGTAATAAGATGGGTGAATATCATACTAGATGAAGTAATGTGACTAGAAAGTGAACATAAGATGAGATGGATGGATGTGATGTAATGAGACAGTGAATATAAGGGCTAGATTTGATATGATGTAATTGATTAGTGAATACTTAAGGTATTATGCTTTAAGTAGCGTGTAAACTAGGATATGTGGTCCTGAGCATCCAGTTATTTTTACACAAAATACATATCACTAATTATAATGTCATAATCAAGGAACGTCTTCATGTAACATGGCATATGGTTTGTCCTCAACAACTGTTGACCCAAGTTCTATAGGACAAGAATACCTAACCTCAGTGACCATTCTGCAAAAAACAAGAACGGATATAGACGTGTTGTCGACCATGCCAAACAAACAAACAGAAAGGGTTACCCGAAACACGACAATGCGACAACATAACGATATTCTGGAATAGTTTACATGGTCTATAAATGGAAATGACGATGGCCTATACCTTTACACACCTTGACCGGAACCAGTAGTTCAAGGTTCACAGTGTGGATTTGATTCTCACGACTGTATGATATGTGTCATCTCACCATTCGGTAAAGTATATAATCTTTTTTAAACCACGTACACGCGTTGTATATGTAGAAGTTCATGTCTAAATCAAATCTCGTATTAGAACGTATCATCGCTCACGTTTGCAGTTAAAAAAATATTCGACATTGGTACATGAAATTGATATTTACAATGTCTGTTTGAAAAGTCATAACATACCAGTGTGTTTGTAGACCCATGCTCAAACTTATTACAACATATTCGTTTTGATAAACATAATTTACACCAACGACAGTGCATCCATAAATCTTGACATATTAGGTTGATATATAAAACGTCTTTATGTAGAGAGGTTAAAATACTGTCGCATGCGGTATTGATTTAGTAGAACTGAATTTAGAAATATATAGGATCATTTTCAGGCGGCGTAGTCTTAGGGACGGCTCTTCAGCCTCCCTGCTATATAAAGCTATGTATAAGTGTGCTGAAGGCTCGAAGGTAGAAGTCTGACCATATTGATGAACAGTCGCATAATTTTTAAATTGACGCCACATGCACAACCATAAATGATGGAGCGGTAATTAAGTTTTAGATCGGATCAGGGCTGGCTCTGTACAAGGGGGCGTAAACCTAAGCCCGTGCTCACTCACTGTACAAGGGAGAGGGCTTTTTGAACCCCTCCACTTCGAGTTTGAGAAACAACTATAAATATATCAAGTGCTGGTCGAAGATATTACAATAAAAACAACTCAGTTTCCTTTACACAGCTTCAGTTGGGTTACCATATAGAAATGAGTCCGGGTTCTTGTGAGAGGTATATACTGTGACAACAGTGATTCAGTTAGTTTTAGGTTTTGAAAATATCAAATCAATTTTCCAAAACGATTTGTTACATTTGTTGAAAACACAATTGCAGTGGCCTGTCAATAGTATGCATGTTTACGAGGGTCGAGAAAAAGTACGTAGCCTAAATATATTTTCGATGTAAAATGTTTGAAAAGCTTCCATTCTATTTTTGAAGGAATCGTTAGAAGCCCATATCAAATTTCACATGTGTGGGTAATGTAGTTAACCAGATATTTGTCATCTGTACACGTTGGGGTATAATATTTCTAACAACATTGCAGAAAATGAAAACGATTTGTATTTTTTGGTACCTCTTGGATAATGGTATACCCTCAGATAATGTCATATAAAATATGTTCAGTATAGTATTGGATGACTTCCCCGTCATGATCAACCATCGTAAAGATTTGGATTACCTGATTTATATGTAGTCGGGGGCTGTTGTTTAAGGACACCCTGATTTCAATTCTCGAGTAAACATTGGCCAGATATTCAAGCTGGCACTGTTTACAATATATTGTGAGCTGACACTTATTGTGACCATTCAGTATTTAGTTTGAACCCTTGGCATCATGCATGCACCAAGTGAAAACATTAGAATAAGTTATGTCCTTATGATTACGTCATCTGAAAGGGGGATGGGTAGTTTCTCCAAAATAAGCTCTTTCAGTCAGTATGAAGGGGGAGGGGGGTCACTTTAACAAGCGATTGTAATTTCAAATTGCTTTTTTATGAACTTTAATATCTAAGTGTGATTCTAGGGGACTTCTATCAATCTCAAACACATAAAATATTTCTTGCATATTTTGTTTCCTGAAGTTTTTGATGCCATTTATTGTAAGATTTTGCGTTTTTGGGGGTACCGTGATCGTGAGACTGGAACATAGCAAAACCAAATTGCTTGAGCTTGACAGATAATATGTAGAAAATAAAAACATAAAATAACTGCATTTGTATCGTTTCCTTGAGGTGATTCTACATACTTTTGGATTGCCCCTCATAGTCACGACAAGGCATTTTTAAATTATCGACTAATAGCGATCCATTAATTGCATCATTTTAAAACTTTTGGTAAACTATTAACCTTTATGCTGAGTAATGTGACAGACAAAATACTGCCCTTGTGTGACACCATTATCCTGATTATAATGATCAGACATGCTAGACCCTTGTGGACCTGGGAAACTGCCTGCTATTTAAAAACGTGAATATGAATTAAAGCAAACGGCCTCGCAATCCGAAGTCATGTAGATCTTATAAAATATCTATTTCCTTGTTGTATAACATGCTTTTTGTCTAGATAAAAAAGATAGAAAGTTAATGGTGTTGATTAATTCTCGCTATTTTGACAAATGACTCCAAACGCACTAAATGATTGATGGTACTTCTGTTTTTGCGGAAAACACATTGAATATCTGTTATCAAGTTATTGATTTCTAAGTATCAAACTGATCGATTATGTATCATGCGTTCCATGGTTTTGCAAACTCATTTTGTTCAAGATAGGTCCATAGTTAGATAGATCGGTGTGGGTGTGTCCAGGTTTAGGTATTGGCACTATTATGGCATCATGAAACGACGATGTCCAAATGTCATTAAAATATTCAAAACGGTCTCCAGTATTTTACCTTTAGCGTTTGTAGTTGCACCAGCGTGGGAAATGGTCATTAAAAATCAACCACAGTTAAACATGGTTTGGGTTGTTGATGGCAAAATAGTTTTTATGTTCCTAATTCGTAAACTCAACCGAACATAAAAGATTTACATATAATCACACAACTCTGTATTTGGGTACGTTCACGTCAGCCTGACGGGGCGGCAAGTTTAATTGAAATACATTGAATACAAGTTTACATCCACGGCTGGAACCCATCCAGATAATGGCTCCTCAGTGCTGTGTTATCTGGGTTCCAGATCTGTCCATGTGCTCCAGTAGAGATTTCCGATTGGAATTCCTGGAAGCCTTAAAAACTTAGAAAACTGTTTAATACATTGTAAAATATTTGATATTCATAAATTATTATACTGTCTTACATTTTGAATCACAAATCAACTTCAATTGATTTTTCACTTTCATGAATCTGAAGATGGGTCCAGTGACCTAGCAAATGGGAGGTTCAGTGACCTAGTACATTTGTACATGGGAGGTCCAGTGACCTACTACATACGAGGTCCAGTGACCTAGTACATGCGAGTTCCAGTGACCACAATTCAACCTGAATACAGTTTTGCTGTTTAGGAACCACTGATATAAGTTTGACCTGATCCATATTTACCTTGATGGACGGTCAGTCCTGCCCCGTCAGTCCTTAAACTCAAGTGTCTGCTGCACGTGCAATCTACACGGACTCATATAACATGTACAAATAATCACACAACTCTGTATTTGCGTACGTTCACGTTAGCCTCAAGAACTAAGAGAGTGGGCAAATATGTTTAATCAATCATTTATTACTGGACAGGAGATCACAACTTTCAAATTCCCAATTTTTTGTCACATTGAGTATTGCCAATAAGCTATCCGCCACCGACCGTGACGCTCAAATAGCCTGTCCGGCACTCCAGCATTGGCCGCTTCGGTCCCCCCTCCCGACCTGAGGCTGTGTACCCCAAAATCCTGTCTCTTGAGACCAGCAGACTCCAACATACTCAGAATTATCTCTCGCATACGTGCATAAGAGACTGGCTTGCTGCCTCTTAACTCATAAGTGTTTGACTTTCTGCAATAATTAACTGGTTTAAAGATATATTCATCACAGTAATATCTAAATGCTTGTACTAGGTATGACTTCATAATACTAATTGGACACAATTCTGATTGAGTTGCAGCAACAACCTTGCTTTTTCTCTTTAAAGATAACTATGTGACCTTCCCGGAAGATTATGTCAGAATATCTTAAACTTGCTGCCTCAAAAAACCTTAGGAACCCAGCAAAAGAAACTATACAAAATGTTAAATTTCTCAGGTTGTATAAGCTGTCAACAGGAACCTTATCTTTTAACTTTTCTAGAATATCTGCTGTTATAGGTTCTTTTCGCCTGATTAGAAAAATGGAGAGATCTCCGCGAAGATTCAAGCACAGACTTGACGTAATGTGACTGACATGGATTTCGTAGGCCTGCTAAATAATGTGCCCTGCCTATGGCGCAAATCGACTGTTGAATTAATGCAGGACTCTTGCCGTCCTGCTTTAGAGATAACACGTTCAATGATACATGAAATGCAGAAGCCGGTATATGGCTGATACTAAATTGTTTACACAAATCCTTAAACTTCACAAATCGACCTTCATACTGTTTCACAGTAGTCTTAGCTCTAGATTCTAATAGTAATTCTAGTAACCTTTCCGCTGGACTAATCAAAGATGGATCTTTAAGCCCCTCCTTCTCCTTCCAAACACCGAGTGAAAACACATCTGAAAGCATTCAGAAAAATCTGATAGCTGAAGCTGATCCCGTGAAATTCTTATCAAATATAATTTTCGCTGCACCTTTGGCAAAAATGATTCCATCTTTGATTTCCCAGACCCCTGATATACCTGGTTTACTCCCACCGTCACGGTTGAATACTCTTGGCCAAACTACAGCAGACTTCCACAGCGGTATCACAATGGCAGCTCTGCAGCTATTGTACAAAACAAAATCAATGGTTTTACATATCAGATTGAAAGGCGGCACAACCCAATTATTGTCAGGTGAACAATCTTGTGTGAAACAATCCCACGCTTCTGTCCCTGGAACCATAAACCGGTAAGACTTCCGCCCGTATATCCCCAATATTTGAAAAATGACAAAACAATTATCAGAAGATTCCGGTAATGCTATTGATATAGATGCATAAAAAGTAGTGTAAAGATTAAATTGTGCATACTGAAATTAAAGGTCCGGGATACGAACTCGTCTTACCTGCTAAACTTCGTCGGCCATTAAACAGAAAATGTCGGATATGACGTCAGAATCCAGGAATAATAGTAGCGTGAAAACTAACAATATTCACTATGAAACAATGATACTTCTGATGGAAACGCTTACCTACAATGGATATAATCTTGAAATCGAACGAAGTAAGAATTCAAACGCTAGTTCGTCCCCAACAATGGGTCCGCCAGATGTCCTCGGTGAGGTGTAGTCAAAGTTCCGACGGGTAGAGTGGGTGCTCGGAAGCTGACGCTTTATGCACCACCACCGGTTTTCCATCAAGTTGGTGCATGCCTTTGTGGTTTGGTCTGAATCTGACATCTTGCTGGTTATGGTCGTGGCCTGCTTCTACGCTCCCTCGCTACTTTCTGTCACTTCCGGATCCTGTGACGTCATACTGCATGTCGCGGGAAGGCAAAGCTTTAGCTGCTGGACACGTCTGCCTCCGAGTTCTCCGCAATAGTAACACTGTTGATTTGGTCTGGACCTCTCGGTTCTAGCTCCGAAATGTTGAAGACTGATTATCGCTGTGCACCTCCTGTTGCCCTGTACGTTGATTGACATGAGCAGGAGTAAGTGAAGGGCCATATGGACGATTTTAGCTGCTGCGGCAGCCTCGGCTACGTTTCCTGAAAACTTTCGCATCAGCTCTCTCAAACTGACGTTCCTCATCAAAGCTTGAAGCGACGCCGCTCCCTTCCAGTTCTGTGACAACACCTCAACCAGCTGGGGATTTTTTCCGCTAAACGGATAAACTTGTTGCATTTTTTAACAGAGACAGAGAGAGACTCAATTTTTCCACACATAGCAGTAGTATCTTTCTTGCATAATGATGACGTAATGTTGTCTAGACCAGCCAAAATGCCACGATTAAACTTGCATTGCACAGGAGTTCCCTTTATATTTGATGTCAGGGTATTTATCATAGTTCACTTTCTTGGCAATAGACAAAGACAGTTGCTCTGATTCACTGATGAATTCTCTCTTAAGTGTAGACAGTTTAGCATAAATAATCCCAGAATAGTTGGAAAGACTGAAAGTCGTCACCTTTTGGTTGTTCCGAACGTTTCGAAGAAGCAGAGTCGTGTACACCGTCATCCGAAGAGTTCTCCATGTTTGCAGATACAGCCGAGGCACGCAACAACAGTCCTGCCCCGTCAGTCGTGAATGTCAAGTGACTGTTGCACGTGCAATCTACCCTTTAATAGCACATCCATCACGTGACTTACTGCACGGACTCAAGTTCATCTGTACTGAATACTCTCGAACCCAAATACACAACCACGTATTGGTAAATATATGAATAACTTTTAATCTTTATTTCAGTACTTACTAAGGCCACAAGCCTATAGTACATTACAATACAAAATACACAATCAGACATAATATAAAGGTATAAAAATAACTGTAAAAAGTCACACAGCTGAATTGCAGACTCTCAATTTGTGTTGATGTTATTTCTGTACATGGAGGCATGATAAATGGACATAGCTAAATCTTGCTGAACTTTACCAGTTGCATGTAATAACAGTAAAATAAAATTTAGGTACATGCGTGTATGTAAAAATAATAGGATTATCTTTCACTAAGTTGTCAGTAAACAGGGCATACAAACAGAAAATGAAACTCATCTTCAACTAAATTGTAGTTAGAAACGTTGCAAATTCTTTGGTCCCGACTAATGTTTATACAACGTCTCGATTCACGAGAAAACCATCTGCTTGGAAGAGCTGTTCGGAACGTTTTAACAATAATCTTATAAATGTTAACTTCCTGAATTGTTTGTGATTTAAACAATTTGTAATAAAAACATTTATTTGAAAAAGCCAGTGAAGCAGTCCATTTTTGCACATAAACATCTTTTAGCCTTTGTGTTTATGACATTACAAAATGTGAATTTGAATACACATTCTGATCTTGTCAAACGTGTCAATAAAACTACTGAAAAGTAACTCTTCAGCACCAGTAACCCAGTTTCTCTTTCCATTATTGTCATAAAGTAACATCATCTTGTAACTTTTACATTGGGTGGGGGGTTGGGTGGGGGGCTGTATGACGGCATATCAAGAAGTCTGAACCAGTATTTGATTACCTCAATATTTAGGTGTAAATAAAGCGAAAATCGATCACACTCACCATATACAATCAGGCTAGATGTACATATTTTCACACTTAAGAACTTTTACAAGTATATATATGCATTTTTTCTATCACATCAAACTGTTGTAAATCCCACGCTTCTGAACCATATAATAACATTGGGAGTATTTCAATATCAAATATTTTGTGAAATGTTTGGTATGAAATATGTCCCTACTAGTCAGAGTGTAAAGTGGCCATTAAAAGCACCCATAATTATATACGGTTTGGGAAGTTGATCGTAGAACAACCTGCTGAGGAGCTAAAGATGGCGGAATATAATAGCGAGCAGAGAGCAAAAGCAACGCACGGAGTAAGGCGCACTGTAAAGGCTTGAAGATTAGTTTTAAGCATAACTGGGCTTTGTATTGCATCATACCAAGCAAGGATTGAAGATGCTCATGTGGTCCTATCACCCGGTGGAGTAAAAGAATGACATGCAATGAACTGTCGTAAAATGAAATTAGCTGTCTGCTTCAGATATGTTTCTTGCAGACAGAATGCTGATGGACTTAAATCCTAATCCTATAGTTGTAAGCCGTTACAGTTGGCTTTCAGTCCTCAAAATTTTCACAGGATAATAATGTTTAGGTAAGGTATTTTCTGGGTGAATTGATTGGGGACATACCCCATACCTTCAGCCTTATCTTTCGAGGGATCCAAACTTAAACCAAAGATTATTTGACCCCTTTGCTACCCTATCACTTTAATGTCCTTTCGAAGTTTTGGTCCTTGCCTTGGTATGTTCCACATTTCCTTGAGATTTTTTATGTTCTCCAAAGTCAAGTGTTGCAGTTAATTGATGATGCATTTACTTTCAGAGTTATTTCAGGATGTGTCCTAACGATAGACACATAGGCTTCAGCTAGCTTCTATAGACTGAACAAGTTTCTTTACATCAGAAAAACTGATGTTTCTGGAAAATTTAATTATATTTACTTACATCAGTTGTTTCAAGATTGTCTTTGGAGGAGAATGGGTGACTTCCTGAACAGCACACCTTTTATCATCATTCTCACAATCTTCCGTTTTTTTAATTTTCTCCCTGCAGAAGGCAGTGTCAGATCTTGTACACGAGTGCACTATGGCCATATTTTTGGCATTTGAAACAACTCAAAGGGTCTGGAATAAAAATGTCAACGCTTATATTGCAGTAGCATGCTATAATATTTGAGGGAAGGAAAGGAAAACAGGTTTGTGTTGGTTGGGTTGAGCTTCTGACTTTTTTTCTTGTTGAGATTCGTTTAAAGTACATAACACATTAATCTCTCATTTCAGACACTATGCCAGTTGCAGTCATGCCTGTAAACAATATATATATATTATTGATACCTGTCTCCGATTGTCGTCAGTAAGACTGACAATTTTTATGATCAGGATGGAAAGTTTCATTTTCTTTGCCTCTTTAGGTATCCAACATGGGATGGTTCTGGATGGGACTTCTTGTGGTCTGTGTCACTGTGACTCACATTGGTAGGAACGTTATTCACAGTATGTGAAACAAGTGTATATATTTGCACACCGTGAGTTAACTTTATTATCAAGTACTTTGCTTTCTCCGAATCCTGTCAGTATTTTACTGCATTTAACCTTTTACAAATGACTGAGTAACAAGTGGAACCATGCTTTTCAAACAGATGCAGAATGTCACTGTAGTACCACAGAACTCTGTAACTCGTTTCCCTCAACTCCCTGTAGTCAGATGGATGGTCAGGACATGTGTCATGAGGGATGGTTTGGTCCGTACTGTCAGACACGTGAGTATGACGTAGATGGATACAGATAATCGTATGAACACATGTCAACAATATTTGTTTACATTACATTTTATGTTGATTTTGTATTCATCTTGTCAGGAAATATTGCGCTAATGAGATCGTGTAGCCAGAGTAGTACATTGGACGGAAATGCTACAAATTATGGAGCAGGACTCGGTGTAGACGGCAGAGCCACCACAAATGCCCTAAGCTTGCCACGGACATGTGCTCATACAAAGAATGAGTCAAATCCCACCTGGACTGTGAACCTGAACACTCCAGTTCCAGAGAAGATACAACACATCAGGCTCTATCTGCGGGACAGGCGTGAGTACATACATACGAATGACGCTCATCTATTTTGTTTAGTTAATGAGTGAATCACAATGCAAAATCATTACGATGTTGCACTTACTATTGTTACGAACAAACCAAGAGATTAAAATGAAAGATACCTTCCTAAAACAGAAAGAACGCAATACAGACGGAATGGACCAATTAAAACCCTATATATTTCAAGCTAAAAATCAACGACAATCAAATTGTTAATATATCTGCTTAGTAACAGACTTCTGTTGCTTGCTTTCAGTTTTAGATCAAAATGTTCAGAGAATGCAGGAAAATATACTGTTCAAACCATTTCTTATCAGTGATCAGCAAATTCCAAATCAATCTATTATCTTTTTTCAGTTTTATGTGAAATCATATGATACTCAATAAACATGCAAACATTTATTCTTGAAATTAACAAATCTATAAAAATCTACTGCTTAAATCAGTGCTGGACACAGCAGTTTACACATTTATCGCTGTGTTGGTTTGTAGAATCATTTGTACAGATAATTTATGTTCACAGATTCAGACAGTCCTGCACACCATTTATAAAATACACGTCAAGTGGTCTCAGTTATCTGCACGATACTAAAACACGTCACAATTTAATTCTGGACTCACAAAAGTCCAGAAACTCTCTGCACTGTGAGCACTTTCTGACAAGGGATTTGACCAAATTAAACATGCAGTGGTTATGAATATATGCCAAGGATGAAAAAATAAGAAAAAAATTCTTTCGAAAACTTTAAATTTAAACTCGCTCGCCCATGGGCAGGCCCATGGGCGAACAGTGGCCCATGGGCCGGCCCATGGGCGAGAATGTTTAATTTCGATCAGAATTCATGTTTTGGAGGTTGTAAATGAATGAGTGTATGTTTGTAAGCATCATGAAACAAATTTCAACTCATTTTGACTTAATTCGACTAATTTAGAACGATATTAAAATCTCGCCCATGGGCGAAAACATTTTGGCCCATGGGCGAGAATATTGACGTTTACTCAAAATACATGTTTTCCCATGTTTTGAGGTTGTAAATGAATGAGTGTATGTTTATAAGCATCATGACACAAATTTCAACTCATTTTAACTTAATTTGACTAACTTAGAGCGATATTCAAAAATCTCGCCCATGGGCGAAACACATTTTGGCCCATGGGCGAGAATATTGGCTTTTAACCAAATACATGATTTTCCATGTTTTGGAGGTTGTAAATGAATGAGTGTATGTTTATAAGTACCTTGAAACAAAATTCAACTCATATTGACTTAATTCGACTAACTTAGATGGATGCTAAAAATCTCGCCCATGGGCGGAACACATTTTGGCCCATGGGCGAGAATATTGACTTTTACTCAAATACATGATTTTCCATGTTTGGAGGTTGTAAATGAATGAGTGTATGTTTATAAGTATCATGAAACAAAATTCAACTCACATTGACTTAATTCGACTAACATAGAGCGATATTACAAAATCTCGCCCATGGGCGAAAAATAGGTTGGCCCATGGGCGAGAATATTGACTTTTACTCAAAATACATGATTTTCCATGTTTTGGAGGTTGTAAATGAATGAGTGTATGTTTATAAGTATCATGAAACAAAAAATTCAACTCACATTGACTTAATTCGACTAACTTAGAACGATATTAAAAATCTCGCCCATGGGCGAAAAATAGGTTGGCCCATGGGCGAGAATATTGACTTTTACTCAAAATACATGATTTTCCATGTTTTGGAGGTTGTAAATGAATGAGTGTATGTTTATAAGTACCTTGAAACAAATTTCAACTCATTTTGACTCCATTTGACTAACTTAGAGCGATGTTAAAAAATCTCGCCCATGGGCGGAGCACATTTTGGCCCATGGGCGAGAATATTGACTTTTACTCAAAATACATGATTTTCCATGTTTTGGAGGTTGTAAATGAATGAGTGCATGTTTATAAGTATCATGAAACAAAATTCAACTCATATTGACTTAATTCGACTAACTTAGAACGATATTACAAAATCTCGCCCATGGGCGAAAAATAGGTTGGCCCATGGGCGAGAATATTTACTTTTACTCAAAATACATGATTTTCCATGTTTTGGAGGTTGTAAACGAATGAGTGTATGTTTATAAGTATCATGAAACAAAATTCAACTCACATTGACTTAATTCGACTAACTTAGAACGATATTAAAAAATCTCGCCCATGGGCGAAACACATTTTGGCCCATGGGCGAGAATATTGACTTTTACTCAAAATACGTGATTTTCCATGTTTTGGAGGTTGTAAATGAATGAGTGTATGTTTATAAGTACCATGAAACAAATTTCAACTCATTTTGACTTAATTTGACTAACTTAGAGCGATGTTAAAAAATCTCGCCCATGGGCGAAACACATTTTGGCCCATGGGCGAGAATATTGGCTTTTACTAAAATACATGATTTTCCATGTTTTGGAGGTTGTAAATGAATGAGTGTATGTTTATAAGTACCATGAAACAAAAATTCAACTCATATTGACTTAAGTTCGACTAACTTAGATGGATGTTAAAAAATCTCGCCCATGGGCGAAAAATAGGTTGGCCCATGGGCGAGAATATTTACTTTTATTCAAAGTATATGTTTTCCATGTTTTGGAGGTTGTAAATGAATGAGTGTATGTTTATAAGTATCATGAAACAAAATTCAACTCATATTGACTTAATTTGACTAACTTAGAACGATATTAAAAAATCTCGCCCATGGGCGAAAAAGAGGTTGGCCCATGGGCGGGAATGTTTAATTTCGATCAGAATTCATGTTTTGGAGGTTGTAAATGAATGAGTGTATGTTTGTAAGCATCATGAAACAAATTTCAACTCATTTTCACTTAATTCGACTAATTTAGAACGATATTAAAAAATCTCGCCCATGGGCGAAACACATTTTGGCCCATGGGCGAGAATATTGACGTTTACTCAAAATACATGTTTTCCCATGTTTTTGAGGTTGTAAATGAATGAGTGTATGTTTATAAGCATCATGACACAAATTTCAACTCATTTTAACTTAATTTGACTAACTTAGAGCGATATTAAAAAATCTCGCCCATGGGCGAAACACATTTTGGCCCATGGGCGAGAATATTGACTTTTAACCAAATACATGATTTTCCATGTTTTGGAGGTTGTAAATGAATGAGTGTATGTTTATAAGTACCTTGAAACAAAATTCAACTCATATTGACTTAATTCGACTAACTTAGATGGATGCTAAAAATCTCGCCCATGGGCGGAACACATTTTGGCCCATGGGCGAGAATATTGACTTTTACTCAAATACATGATTTTCCATGTTTTGGAGGTTGTAAATGAATGAGTGTATGTTTATAAGTATCATGAAACAAAATTCAACTCACATTGACTTAATTCGACTAACATAGAGCGATATTACAAAATCTCGCCCATGGGCGAAAAATAGGTTGGCCCATGGGCGAGAATATTGACTTTTACTCAAAATACATGATTTTCCATGTTTTGGAGGTTGTAAATGAATGAGTGTATGTTTATAAGTATCATGAAACAAAATTCAGCTCACATTGACTTAATTCGACTAACTTAGAACGATATTAAAAAATCTCGCCCATGGGCGAAAAATTTTGGCCCATGGGCGAGAATATTGACTTTTACTCAAAATACATGATTTTCCATGTTTTGGAGGTTGTAAATGAATGAGTGTATGTTTATAAGTACCTTGAAACAAATTTCAACTCATTTTGACTCCATTTGACTAACTTAGAGCGTTGTTAAAAAATCTCGCCCATGGGCGGAGCACATTTTGGCCCATGGGCGAGAATATTGACTTTTACTCAAAATACATGATTTTCCATGTTTTGGAGGTTGTAAATGAATGAGTGCATGTTTATAAGTATCATGAAACAAAATTCAACTCATATTGACTTAATTCGACTAACTTAGAACGATATTACAAAATCTCGCCCATGGGCGAAAAATAGGTTGGCCCATGGGCGAGAATATTTACTTTTACTCAAAATACATGATTTTCCATGTTTTGGAGGTTGTAAACGAATGAGTGTATGTTTATAAGTATCATGAAACAAAATTCAACTCACATTGACTTAATTCGACTAACTTAGAACGATATTAAAAAATCTCGCCCATGGGCGAAACACCTTTGGCCCATGGGCGAGAATATTGACTTTTACTCAAAATACGTGATTTTCCATGTTTTGGAGGTTGTAAATGAATGAGTGTATGTTTATAAGTACCTTGAAACAAATTTCAACTCATTTTGACTCCATTTGACTAACTTAGAGCGGTGTTAAAAAATCTCGCCCATGGGCGAAACACATTTTGGCCCATGGGCGAGAATATTGGCTTTTACTAAAATACATGATTTTCCATGTTTTGGAGGTTGTAAATGAATGAGTGTATGTTTATAAGTACCATGAAACAAAATTCAACTCATATTGACTTAGTTCGACTAACTTAGATGGATGTTAAAAAATCTCGCCCATGGGCGAAAAATAGGTTGGCCCATGGGCGAGAATATTTACTTTTATTCAAAGTATATGTTTTCCATGTTTTGGAGGTTGTAAATGAATGAGTGTATGTTTATAAGTATCATGAAACAAAAGTCAACTCATATTGACTTAATTTGACTAACTTAGAACGATATTAAAAAATCTCGCCCATGGGCGAAAAAGAGGTTGGCCCATGGGCGGGAATGTATAATTTCGATCAGAAGTCATGTTTGGGAGGTTGTAAATGAATGAGTGTATGTTTATAAGCATCATGACACAAATTTCAACTCATTTTGACTTAATTTGACTAACTTAGAGAGACATTAAAAAATCTGGATTATTTACGGTAACATGGATTAGCTAATAGCGAATTGCCGGGAGACCCACTTTCACACGATCACTCAACCATACCCATTGCCGGTTGAGCCAAACCATTTTCAACTCTTGTTCTCTTAAAAGTGGCTTTCCCGGACTA